GGGGGCGGGCCTTCTGTCTCACTAGGTGGCAGTGTCTGATTACATCTGGAAGGACCACGCTAGCAAGCCTGGTGTCTCCAGCTGTGACCTCCAGCACCAGGATGAAATCCCTGACTCTGCAGCTAACTCGGGAGGTAGCACCACCGTTCACGTCTCTGTCTACACTGTTCACCTCAGCGGCTTCCAGGAGCTCTACAGGCACTTCCTCAGGCTACCTGATGGGGCTATCATTGAGGTGGGTCCAAGCAGACTCCTCACCTGCAGATTTTGAAGGCAAAGGGGTGCACTTCAGAAGTAGGTCAGCGTCAAAACAGGAAAATAGACCTGCCTGACCCTGCACAAAATACACACTGAAATCTTCCATAGGAAGACCTTACACCTAAACAGCAGTGTAAAATCAATGAGTTAATGTTTTTGCAGTGCAAAGTAGAAATTTAGTATTGTTTATAGAGCCATTTAAAGGCAATTATGTAAGATACACATTGAAACTACACACATAGAGATTATTTATAAATATATGTTGCTTAGAACCACATAAGGTCATTCTGTACAGGAATTATTATATATAAAAATATACAATGTAAGTATTGTGCATATTTTTTATACAGCTAGTACTACAGGTATGGTCATTCACTTAGTTTTTCCTCAGATACACAGAAGTAAGGCTCAGTTAGATTACTTACTGGTATCTTGCAAGTTTTAGATTGAATCCTGGATATTGTCAGATTTAAATACAATACAGGGTGGTATTAAAAAGAATTATCGCCCATTACTTGTTTCATAGGCTGCATTTTGTTCATTGCATTGTCATTTTTGTTCCAAGTGCTTAGAAGAAGTGCATTTCCTTGTTGCCTTTGGTCTTGTGTTGAGAGACCTTTAAAAAAAATTTGGCATCTAAGAGAAAGTAGAGTGAAAGAATATTACTTTACCTGCCCAGATAAGAAGTGGGAGCATCATCACGGAGTTCTGTTTACCACAGAAAAGTAGCACAAATGATGCTGAAGTACAAAGTTTTCAGCTGCTCACTTCTAAGGTGAAGGTTCAAGTACATCTTTCCAGCATGAGGCAAGCGTTGCTTCTGCTCCTTTGGTTAATGTTTCAAGGCTGTTTTCTTCATTAAAAGATTTTATTCTTAATGTCTTTGCCCTACTTGGCTTTTTAAAGAAAATTTAATTTAAAGGAAACTGTCCTCAAGGAATCCAGACATAATTTTCTGCCCCGGGAACTTGTGATTCACCAGAGTGAAGACACCAGAGTCTTAGAGCTGGCCAAAGAAAACAAGAGAAGGCATGTGGCCTACATGAAGTAGAATTTAATTATTGAAACAAAGAAACGAGCATATCCAGGTCCATGCCCAAGTCTGTTAAAGAAGATCCTCATACAAATCATTGGCTAGATTTTTGCTAGAACACCTTTTCCCTGTTTGAGGTCAACAATGCAGCCCCATTCCTACTTTCCACCTGTTACCGCTCTTTGCAGAATGGTTTTTCCCAATTAAGTTCTTCTCAGCTTTTCAGTCATGATGTTTTGTTCAGCTTCCACAAGGCTGTGGAAGGAGGGGCTTCGAACACCCGAGGGAATCTTAACCCAGTGCACTGGTTCAGTTCATTAATCCCTTCTGTATTTCTAAGAGAGGAGAAATGCATTCCCATACAATGTAATTTTGTCTTCCCAGAAGCTTCCAGCTTCTGAGCGGATGCTGATCAGCATCCACAAAGTGAACACTGCACAGTGCGGATGGCTCAAGCTACTTCTGTATGGTTTCCCACACCAAATCACAACATAGTCTATCCCTAAAATCTACATGGCTGAGTCTTATGTCATCGTCTTGAAAGCTGCACGTCTAATTTAGGAGGTCAATGCATGCTTTACAGCATTTTTACTTGTAGATCTAAATACAATTACATATAAGAAATGTGCTTAACTAATAATTGCAGTAAAACTTATATACAGATCTTACATTTAGCTGATAATGGATGTAATTATACATTTGTGTATTTTATAGGTCAGGGCTTTCCACTACAGTTCCAAATTAGGAATATTTTATAAGTTAATGAATTTTAAAACTATGCACTGACTAGTGAGAAGTTTGCTGCCATAGGGCAAATACACCTGAGCTTCACTGCTTGCTGCTGTTGCTGCCCCTCAGGAACAGTTTTTTTGCCTCTGCTGCAGCTAGACAAGCACTGGTACTCGAGTGGGGTAAGAAAATAATTTTGGAGCTAAAAGGTTGCATTGCAACCTTAAGTACAGCTTTTAAGGGTGTAGGAAATGAAGACTACATGGGCTTCTTGGGATAATCTGTCCAGTCTGCTGCTTCTGTGGAGAACTCATTGTGTATAAGCATTTTTAGTCTGAATATTTAGAGCTAGTCCTAAAGATTCAGGTAGTTTAGTTTACCTAAACCTAGTCTAGTTTAAGTATTTTGTCCCTATTGATTCAATAGAAAGATTTTTCTGGATCCTTAGAGTCTACTTGGTCACAAGTCTCCTCTTATTCTCCAGCCTCAATTTATTAATTGTCAGTTTCCGTGTATTTATTTGCATCACCCTTTGGTGTAAATAAGAATTCTCTCTTCCAGAAGTTTACCTACATAATCTAATTTCAGAATCTTATCCATTTTCTGCCAGAATGGGTACAACACTTCACCAGAAGAAACAAGCTCCCCTTTTGCTTTTCACTCCCTTCCTCACCCTACCAGCAGTGGTGAAGGAATCACAGAATCATTTAGCTTGGAAAAGACCTTTAAGATCATCGAGTCCAACCATAAACCTAACACAGCCAAGTCCACCACTAAACCATGTCCCTAAGTGCCACATCTACAGGTCTTTTAAATACCTCCAGGGATGGTGACTCAACCACTTCCCTGGGCA